CCGTCAGTGACTCAAACTAAGTGATTTTGGAAGTACTTTTGTGTTTAACTATAACGAGGAGGGAGGGGGGGATTTATCTTAATTCATAGTGTCAGAAAGTGTAATTAAATCTCCCAAAAGGATTTAATCCCTTATGGCATTAAATAACTTGGATAAAATGTATAGATATATTTTTTTCCAAGTTGTGATGTGTGAAGAGATTTTCTTTCATTATAATAAAAGTCGACATTAAATTCCATAAGCTTATATTAATCTCCTTAATTAGTTTTAAAGATGATAATGTAAGAACTTAATATTTTCGTATTAATTTAACGGTATATAACTAATTTCCTCTTAATTTCACCAGAACTAATTTCGTTGTAGTTTCGTATTATCGAATTATCTTTGAACAGGACAATAAAACTCGTTAACCTTCCGAACATAATTGTTGTTTCTGGAAAAAAAATAAATATATTTTAGATTTGTACTTTTGGCGCTGAAACTTAATTATAATAACTTTTGTGTTTTTGAAATATTTTAGTCTTTTTTAATTATATGTATAATATTTCATCTAGACACTACTACTACTAACAACAACAACAATAATTAATAATAATAATAATAATAATAATAATAATAATAATAATAATAATAATAATAATAATAATAATAAAATAATAATAATAATAATAATAATAATAATAATAATAATAATAATATCCAGGCAGGACGGGTAAGAATTTCGCGTGATCCTTTTGGACTCAGGCCCTGATTACCTTGTCTGGTTAATTAGGGCCAGGTGAGAGAGAGAGAGAGAGAGGGAGAGAGAGAGAGAGAGAGAGAGGCGTTTATTGTGGTCGTGGCGGAAAGGTTGAACTTGTTACTCACTTTCTATATCAGGGTCACAAGTTCGATACCTGATACTGGGAGTTATTCAGAGCGAGGCTGGACGGCGCCGAGTTGGTGTGTGTGTGTGTGTGTGTGTGTGTGTGTGTGTGTGTGTGTGTGTGTGTGTGTGTGTGTGTGTGTGTGTCCTCTACAACAGGACAAAGTGCTCTACAAATTGACTCTCACACCAGCTGGGGTTTATATTTTTTCCAATAATACGCGCGTAGGTGGAGAGAGAGAGAGAGAGAGAGAGAGAGAGAGAGAGAGAGAGAGAGAGAGAGAGAATCAGTTGGTGAGTGAGTGAGAAAGAGTGAGAAACACTTAGTTGAGAATAACATAACGAGTTGAAAACATTCTTAACAATTGCTTATAGTGAGGCTGGGAGAGGGAGGGAGGGGTGAGGGGGGAGGGAGGAAGGTGGGGGAGAGGAGGGAAGGTGGGGAGGAAGGTGAAGGAGGAGGGAAAGGGTGAGGGGCAGAAAGAAGAGGATGGAGGAAGAGGGAGGAAGGAGAGGGTGTGGTGGTAGAAAGGGAGGAAAGGATTAGCGAGAAGGGACTCAAGAGAAGGACAAGAGGAGAGAGAGAAGGATGAGAGAGGGGAGAGGGAAGGATGAGAGGGCAGGAGATAGGGGAAGGATGAGGGGCAGGGGAGAGGGAAGGATGAGAGGGGCAGGAGATGGGGGTTGAGATGATATCATAATAAAATGGACGACACGAGGATAGAGGGAGAGGGAAGGATGGGTTTGATGGGGAGTGGGAGGGGATAGAGGTGAGAGGGGTGGTTAGAATGGGAGGGGGAAAGGGTGGTGAGGAGGGAGGTGGGGAGAGGACTGGGGAGTAACACACTATCAGAGGGAGATTATAACACTTAATAACTCGAGGCTACAATAAAGAGTTATACACACTCTCTTAATTATGTTTTATCGCCGTGTTTAACTCTCCCCTTTACTCCTCCCTCCCCTCCTTACCTCCTCCTCCCTTCTAACCTCCCTCCTTCCCCTTCCCTCCCTTGGTGTAAATGACCTCCCAGGGGTTGCTAGAGGTCAACTTGTATAACCATCCAGTACCCTCATCCACTGTAGTAATAGATAGAAATGACATGTCAGAGGTCATCCAAGGTCAAATGAATGACCCTTGTTCCCTCCTCCAGTGTTAGCGGGTCGATGAGGGCAGTAGCCTCCCAGGAGTCACCAACAAACGAACGACCTTCCACCAAACGACCCTTCCTCTCCCTCCCCTCCTTCCCTCCCCCTGTCCCCCTTCCTCCTGTCCCCTTCCCTTCCCTCCCCTGTCCCCTCCTGTCCCCTTCCCTTCCCTCCCCTGTCCCCTTCCTCCTGTCCCCTTCCCCTTCCTCCCCTGTCCCCCTTTCTCCTGTCCCCCTTCCCCTTCCCTCCCCCGTGTCCCCCCTTCCTCCTGTCCCCTTCCCTTCCTCCCTGTCCCCTTCCTCCTGTCCCCCTTCCCCTTCCCTCCCCTCTCCCTTTTCATCCCTCCCATTCCTCCTTCCTCCTCTTACAGTGGTCGATAGAAGGACACACACACACACACACACACACACACACACACACACACACACACACACACGAGGCTAGGGTCATAAACACTGCTGATCGTATCCTTGAATGATAGCGTGTTAGTGTGTCAATGACACTAACTGGGGTCATCAAGGGTCATTATCTCATACTTGTTGATGTGGGGGAGTCAGTAGGTTACGTTATTTGAGGTCACTAGGTCACCATAGGTTACATTAGTTAAGGTTAGGTGGTCACCATGGGTCATTAGGTCACCATAGGTCACCACAGGACACCATAGGAAGAAAAGGGTCAAGTTATTAGTATTGTTGTCTCAGGTAATTAGGTTCCACACGTAACCAAATGCAGGTAAATAATCACCTGAAGTCGGTTGAAGTGGGTCTACCCAGCAGTAATTGGGGACCTGGATGTTCATCGATTTGCTGATCGTGTTCCGGGGTAATGGTTAGTAGTGCAGTTGACGAGTTGTCCGGTCTTCTCGGACTATTCCTTGACACTGGGTCATGCAGCTCGTTAACTCAGGATGTGGTTGTTGTGTTGGCGACAGCTTCCTTACCTTAAAGAAGTTCACTCCTAGGTGGCCCCATCCTCGTTACACGAGGGCAACCATTAGTGTAGTGCAGTGTAGACACGGGAGTGGAGGAGGGTGACAGTTTTTCTACTAGGATGAACTAGACAGTACTGAGAATAGGGGGATAATTTCTCTCCAGGATGAACTGAGATTAAAATCTTTTCCCCAGGATGAAGTAGGAAAAAATAATCATCAGGATATATATATATATATATATATATATATATATATATATATATATATATATATATATATATATATATATATATATATATATATATATATATATATATATTTGAGGATGAGTGATGGTAAGGGAGAGGTGTGATGATTGTTTTCCCAGAGAAAAAGACCGGGGTGGGGATTAATATCTGGGGTTGTGGGAGTCATAAATCAGGAGGTGGAAGTGTAATGGTTGTTTGATGGTTCTCTGGGGGGTAGGGGGGTGGTTGGGGAGGAAAGGGAGGGGAAAGGGGAGTGTTGGAGGGAGGAAAATAGAAAGAAAAAGAGGGAGGAAAAGGGGGTTAAGTCATCAGTCAAGGCAGTCAATGGTTGTGTCATTAGTCAGAGGATTAAGTCATTAGTCAAGTGTTAAGTGGTCACCCAAGGAATATATTGGCCACTTGGAGAGTTCATTGTACACTTGAGTATTAATTGACCACTTGGGGAGTTAATTAGGCCACTTGGGGAGTTAATTGGGGGTAAGTTAGAGTGTGTTATGGGACTGATGACACTGTGACAGGAGCAGTTAAACTTAGGTAATTGTTCACCTCTCGCATAAGTTGTGTGGTCCTGGGAGAGAGGAGGGGGGGGAAGAGTGAGAGGGGTGAGAGGGAGGGGGAAGAGTGAGAGGGGTGGGAGGGGAGGTGGTGGGAAGGAGGGAGTGTGAGGGAGAGAGAGAGGAAGAGTGGGTGGGAGGGAGAGTGGGTGGGAGGGAGAGGGAGAGGTGGGGGGAGAGGGAGAGGAAGAGTGAGAGGGAGGGAGAGGGAGAGGAGAGGAGAGTGGGAGGGAGAGGAAGAGTGGGTGGGAAGGAGAGGGAGTGTGAGGGAGGGTGGGAGGAGGAGAGGGGGAAGAGTGAGGGGGGAGGGAGAGAGGGGTGAGAGGGAGGAGGGAGAGAGGAAGGTGAGGGGGTGGGGGAGGAGAGAGGAAGAGTGGGTGGGAAGGAGGGAGTGTGAGGGAGAGAGGGAAGAGTGGGTGGGAGGGAGTAGGTGGGAGAGTAGGGAGAATAATAATAATGATAATTGATATATTTGATGATGATGATATGATGATGATGATGATGATGATGACTAACCAGCAACAACAACAAAATAATTATAACCTAACAACAACAACAACAAAACATTCATTTACCACAGCAAAAATTCACCAGTTGTATTGTTTATTTTATGAGTTGGTCTACATTATTTAATACTGGGGTGGCTGTGGCTCTCTCTCTCTCTCTCTCTCTCTCTCTCTCTCTCTCTCTCTCTCTCTCTCTCTCTCTTTTTTCTTGGTTTCTTTTTTCCTCTTTCGTTTCATTTTCATACTCCTTTGTTTGTCTTTTCAACATACACACACACACACACACACACACACACACACACACACACACACACACACACCTCTACACCACCCTCCAACACCCCTCACCTCCCCTACCCCCACACTCACCTGCCCCTCAACAGGTGATTAAAAATAATGATCCTCTCTGTCTCAATCTGTCACGTCACCTGTTAACATCTTCACTACAGTGTCTTAATCTCCATATACCTGTACAGTGACCTCGTACTCAAGGTGATCGAGGAATTGGACTCGTAGGGTTAATTTCTCTTGTTGGAGGGTTGTCTCCGTACTCAAAGTGGTTATCTGGGTAAATGATTGTACTCGGGAGTTAGCATCGTACTCAGTTGGGGAAATCGTTGTGTTTAGGGGTTGGCATCGTACTCAGTTGGGTAAATTATTGTACTCAATCATTCAAGTCAGAATCATGAACTCTGATCTAGAAGAACTTGAGAAATGCAGAGAGACCTGTCAGTTGTAGCATCAGTAAGTATGACAGATTTTGTGAGAGATTTTGTGACAAGAGGTACCGGTATGGCCAGCACAAGGACCAAACCAGACAGTGTGATGTAGTCGTGGCCAGAACTAAGCTAAGATACAGACACATCTGGCCAATTATTGACGCTGTACCCATACCGGAACACTCAGTATGTAAACTTTGTGATAAACCTTTGATAAATATTGTGGTTTACCTGACGAAATGATAACGTCTTCAATTAGTGATTTACGTTATTCACCTGACGAGCAGCACAACAACAACTCAGGTGAGGAACGTTACCTAGGCTACGGTCAAAGCACCTCCAGGTAATGCGTCCAGGTGTAGTCTGTAGCCCAACATCTGTTCACGCTTCAGCGACTACACCAGGTGAGTTGACCCACAGGTGTGTGTCACTCTTTCAAGGGATGACATATATGCTGACCTCTGGGGTGCATGGTGATGAGGCCAGCTTGACGGTGTGAGAGCCAGCTTGACGGCGAGGTGTATTCTTCATCTTGTTGATACCGACCGCCTCCACTACCTCCTCCCCACCCCTCCCCGTGATGGCCCAAGCTACTCAAAACAAACACTACCCCCTGGATCACCGCCCTGGATCACCCTGGATCACCGCCCTGGATCACTGCCCCTGGATCACTGCCCCTGGATCACTGCCCCTGGATCACTGCCCTGGATCACTGCCCTGGATCACCGCCCCTGGATCACCGCCCCTGGATCCCGCCCCTGGATCACCCCCCTGGATCACCGCCCTGTGATCACTGCCCCTGGATCCTGCCCTGGATCACTGCCCTGGATCACCGCCTGGATCTGCCCCTGGATCTGCCCCTGGATCACTGCCCTGGATCACTGCCCTGGTCCTGCCCTGATCCTGCCCAGGATCAATATGTACCCTGGTGTGTGATGACAGTCTTTGTACGAGTTGCTATTGTGAGATATATTGATCTATGTGACCCCCGGCCATGGCCTTCTCCTCCACCACCTGGCCTCCTCCTCCACCACCTGGCCTCCTCCTCCACCACCTGGCCTCCTCCTCCACCACCTGGCCTCCTCCTCCCACCACCTGGCCTCCTCCTCCACCACCTGAGAGAGAGAGAGATGTTTCACTATACTATCCACTATTAAGACGGATATGATGAGTATGGGGTGACTGTTTTAGTGTGACGTGCTGGGACCTGACCAGACCTACTCACTCTATGGCGTCTATTCTGAATATACATACATTTATATTATAAGCTATATATATGAGTCATATGTAAATAATATATACGGTGTCCCGGAATGTTCCTTCCTCCCTCCCTCCTTCCTCTGTCTTCTCCCTGTCTGCTCCCTTCCTCTCTCCCTCCCTGCCTCCCTTCCTGCCTCCCTAAGACACTGAGTCGTAGGCAGGGAGGGAGGCAAGGGCCTATATTAAGGTCCTATGCTTGGAATATATCCCACGGAGGCGTGTCAGGGAATTGAATCCTGGAAGCATTTAGGAAGTAAGAGCTTCCTTCTGGAGCAACGACCTGGGTAATTACATTATTAGGAACCATCTATTTCTGCCGCCCGTCGTACACGTGACGTCACTCCTGTTGGTGGGTTCCCATGGTGCTGAAAGTCCTGTTGATAGACTGACACAGTACAGTACAGTCATTGAAATGGGTCGTGTTCACCTCCCTAGCGATAAGTTTCTACCCATAAGAAGAGTTTGTAACCTACCGAGGACAACAGGAGTCATAGTCTTCGTTCTGAAATTCATTGATCATCCGAGGTACAGATAGTTGTTTGAGCTACCTCACTCACTCGGGAAGAAAGACGAATTTTATCCTTGACTTATATCCAGATTATCTCTCGCTCATTTTGGGTAATTAAGAGATGTTTTAGTTTTTTTCTTTATCAATTTATTCTGAAACATCCAGGAGTTTCATTAGGTTTTCCCTAAAGACTACTTTTAGTTTTATATTTTTTGTCCTATTTTCATACTTTTTATTTTACTACTTTTCTCAACTACTTTCGATTTTTTTTAATACTTTCTAATCCATCATATTTTTTGTTTACTTTGGTAATATATTTTTTGCGTCATTAATTAACCAATACTTTGGACAATACTCTGGACATAAGGTTAATTACACAACATACCTGGGCCACTACTTGTCTGGGTAATTAATTAGGAAACTGGGGATGTGTTCTTACTGTTCTCTGTTCTGTAAGTAAGTCTTCTTAGTTACTTTCTGTGGTATTTTCAATTAACCTCTCTCTCTCTCTCTCTCTCTCTCTCTCTCTCTCTCTCTCTCTCTCTCTCTCTCTCTCTCTCTCTCTCTCTCTCTCTCTCTCTCTCTCTCTCTCTCTCTTTTTTGGTCAGCCTCACAACACAGGCTGGAAATGGTGAGGGAAGTAATGAAGAACACATGACTCGTGGTCTATGTATACCAAGACACACACACACACACACACACACACACTAATGAGAGTGTGGCCAGACTGTTCTAACCCTAACTAACCATTAACTGGTGTCATATTAACTGTGTACCTTTAACGTGACCTCAGAGCAGTGTAGAAAAAATATTCACCTGTGTTGGGGAGATGTTGTGACCTAACCTAACCTAACCTTCAAGCCAAATTAAATCAACTAGGGTGTGTGATCTTCAGGTGATTTGAGTTTATAGGTTAAAAGAAAAGTCGAACTATAACGAAACTCGAAATAAAGTCCCATAACAGCGTCGGGAAGAAAATTGATGAGAGAAAGTCCTAAAGACGTAGGGCTTGTTAGGTTAGGTGGTCAGCCGCAGGCAGGACTTGGTGGGGGACGGTAGTGGTGGGTAGGGAGGGAGAAGCGGTAGGGGGGAGGGATGATAGTGAGAGACGGTAGGGTGGGTAGGGAGGGTAGGGGGTGAAGGAGATTGTGGACAGGAGGAAGACGGTAGGTTGAGGGATGATGGTGAGAAGAGACGGTAGGTTGGGGGATGAAGGGAGACAATGGTGGACGGGGAGGAAGACGTTAGGTTGAGGGATGATGGTGAGAGAGAGACAGGGTAGGGGCAGGGGTAGGGGAGTGAAGGAAGACGTGAGTGGACGGGGAGGAAGACGGTAGGTTGAGGGATGATGGTGAGAAGACGGTAGAGGTGGAGTAGGGAGGGGTGGCATAAAGGGACTTTAGTAGTATTTTCCGGACAAAGATCACGAACAAGGAAAGAAAGAAAGAGTAGAGAAAAGTGAAGAAAATAAAAGAGACAGAAAGAAGAAAGAAAATAAAAAATAGAGAAAAAATTAAGTAAAGAGGAAGAAAATAAAGAAATAAACTGGAAAACCATAAAACAAAAGAAAAATAGAGAAAAATGAAAATAAAATCATCCTAAAACTCTACCCAAACTTTTCTTCTCTCAATTATTCCTTTTTATTATTATTATTTGTGAAAAAAAACAACTGAGGACTTTCCTAAAGCTCCGACCTTCGTTATATTTCCATCACTATTATTGAACTTATTATTTTTTATATTTTTACCATTTTGATTTTATTTTTTACCACTTTTGTTGCCACTTTTTGTGATACTGAGGAAAAATACCGTGGGTTTTATTTCTCATTAATCTTAACTCATCACTTCACTCACTGACTCACTCACTCCTCCCTCACTCATTCCTCACTCACACTGTAATGAGTCACACTAAGATAATGTCTTATAGGAAGAATATGATGGTGACTTGGAATGAGTTCGTCACCGACTCAACGTAATTTAACCTTACCTAACCCTAACCAACGGAGCTGTAAGATTAAAGCTCTCTCTCTCTCTCTCTCTCTCTCTCTCTCTCTCTCTCTCTCTCTCTCTCTCTCTCCTCTCTCTCTCTCTCTTCTCTCTCCTCTCTCTCTCTCTCTCTCTCTCTCTCTCTCTCTCTCTCTCTCTCTCTCCTCTCTCTCTCTCTCTCTCTCTCTCTCTCTCTCTCTCTCTCTCTCTCTCTCTCTCTCAACACAAAACATCCTGGAAAGTCATGATGGAAATTAGTACCGAAAAGAAAAAAATTTAATCAGGAAAAGAAATACCGTAACTCTACCTGTCACCGCCTCAAGTATTCATAGTTGCCCTGAAGACTGGCAGATTTCTATGATGGTTTATGGGGTTTCGTTTTCTGTTGAATTTTTTTCAGTTGAATATATTACTATTTTTTGTGTCCTGTTGTGTTTTGTCCTGTGTTTTTCATTGATTTTTTGTGAATTTTTGTAACATTGTGAGTTTTTTTTAGCTGATTCTTCGTAGGGTAATTAATCTTATTTTTAGGGTAATTTTCAGTGAGACTAATGAATTCTTAGCGCCATGTAATCTACTCTTTGTCCTGAGAAATTTTGTGAGCGTTTAATTTCGTTTCTGTGAGAATTTTTTGAACATTATTTTATTTTAAAATTTCCATCATCATTAAGTCTCGTTTTCTGTGAGTTTTTTGTATAAGTTTTTTGTTGAAGTTTACAAGGACGATGATGTGTGTGGGAGGCTGAGAGCAGAGGCTGGAGGCGTCCTTAACATTTTGTACCTTGTTCAGTTATTCATCAAAGGCTGAAAACCTGTTGCACGTGTGTGTGTGTGTGTGTGTGTGTGTGTGTGTGTGTGTGTGTTACAACAAAGAGATCCTTCCTCTTGTGTCCGTTGAGCCGTTGAAAATAATCCTCGTCTAACCTAACTCTCCGAACCTAACCGAACCAGACCGAACCTAACCTAGCCTAATCCTAACCTAACCTAACCCTAACCTAACCTAACTTAATCAGAATATCCCAACCTTGGAGGATGAAAACTGTTCTTTTCATGAGGAGGAAAAATGATTTCTGAATAAAAAACTTGGGTAAAACTTTGTTAATTAGTTCACTTTAAGTTTGTGATTTACTTTGGTCGTCGCTCCTTTAGAGTTGTAGTTGGTGATCAGAAGACAATGTTGATGTAGGTAATTGGAAGAGATGTAGTTACGTCTAAGAGTGGCGGCAGAGACGTCCTAACACCCGCTGTCCTCAACACCTGGTGTCTCAACACCCGCTGTCCTCAACACCGCTGTCCTCAACACCTGGTGTCCTCAACACCCCGCTGTCCTCAACACCCGCTGTCCTCAACACCTGTGTCCTCAACACCCGCTGTCCTCAACACCGCTGTCTCAACACCCGCTGTCCTCAACACCTGGTGTCCTCAACACCCGCTGTCCTCAACACCGCTGTCCTCAACACCCGCTGTCCTCAACACCCGCTGTCCTCAACACCCGCTGTCCTCAACACCTGCTGTCCTCAACGCTGTCCTCAACACCTGGTGTCCTCAACACCAGCTTTGTCCTCAACACCTGCTGTCCTCAACACCGCTGTCCTCAACACCGCTGTCCTCAACACCCGCTGTCCTCAACACCTGGTGTCCTCCACTCCCGCTGTCCTCAACACCTGCTGTCCTCTCGCTGTCCTCAACACCTGGTGTCCTCAACACCTGCTGTCCTCAACACCTGCTGTCCTCAACACCTGGTGTCTCCACCTGCTGTCCTCAACACCTTCTGTCCTCAACACCCGCTGTCCTCAACACCTGCTGTCCTCAACACCTGTCTCACTCCGCTGTCCTCAACACCCGCTTCCTCAACACCTGCTGTCCTCAACACCGCTGTCCTCAACACCCGCTGTCCTCAACACCCACTGTCCTCAACACCAGTGTCCTCAGCACCTGCTGTCCTCACCCTTTCCTCAACACCCGCTGTCCTCAACACCTGGTGCTTTGTCCTCAACACCCGCTGTCCTCAACACCCGCTGTCCTCAACACCTGGTGTCCTCAACACCCGCTGTCCTCAACACCCTGTCTCCTCAACACCGCTGTCCCTCAACACCTGGTGTCCTCAACACCTGCTGTCCTCAACACCGCTGTCCTCAACACCGGTGTCCAACCTGTGTCTCAACACCTGGTGTCCTCAACACCCGCTCCTCAACACCTGGTGTCCTCAACACCTGGTGTCACTCAACACCTGGTGTCTAAACACCTGCTGTTTATAGTAGTAGTAGTAGTAATATTAACAATAGCAGTACCAGTAGAGGCCACGTTAAAATAATAGATGTTGTAGTGTAATAGTCGTAGTGGTGGTGGTGGTGGTGGTAGGATAGTAATAGCAGTAGTAGTAGTAGTATTTCGTAGTCGTAGAAGTGGTGGTGGTGGTAGTAGCAGTAATAGCAGTAGTAGTAGTAGTAGTAGTAGTAGTAGTAGTAGTGTGGGAGTAACAAGAGGTGTAGGGACAACATCAGCTGGTATTATTGATCCTGGTTCACGTCATATTACCCAACGTAAACAAACTCTAGCGGGCCATTCATCTCCACCAGTCAGTTGCCGGAGAGTAAATAAACACACAAATATTTTCTGTTTTCGCGGGAGTTTTAAATATTTAACCAAGTTTATGTATTATTTTTATATATTATTTATTTAATATTTTGTTTAACCTTTCCTATTTGTTTTAATTAGTTTTATTACGGTATATTTTTAAAAGACGTATAAATGGTAAGTGATATAAACTATTATTGGATAATTTTTAAGAGAACTAATTTTTTACTGTGCTCTCTCTCTCTCTCTCTCTCTCTCTTTTTTTTTTTTTTTTTTTTTCTCTCAATGATCATCAACTTTAAGGCCGCCTCTTACTCTCTCCCTCAGGTAAACCACACCCACCAACCCAGCCCCTTCAGTGTTGCCACATCACAAACACAGTGTTACCCCGCCCCTCACCTACCTGCTGCTAGACGTACACCGCGAGAGGAGGTTGGTAACATTGCCACAACACCTTACAATATTTCGTCACTTTTTTAACAATTTATTTGTGTATTAACTTTTTGTCCGCCATCTTACCTGACAAGTTTTAATATACTAATTAATTTTCTTTTAGGGGTTAAATTTTTTGTGGAATTATATATATTATTACATTTACATATAATTAACGAACGTCATTAAATAGCTCGTAATGTGATATATTGAGGTAAAATATTTCCTCAGGTAATTAATTATAAAAAAGGTGAATAGATTGTCTCTCGAGGTCCTATAAAATATGGCCACCAGAAGAGGAATATTTACTGATCTTACCAATATTCCTCTCAGGTGGGAAGATAATGAAGTTGTCGGTAGATAAAGTTCTGCCCATTATGTCCTTGGGTTCTGTCCGACTGTATATGAACCTCTGGCCTGGAGTTTTGTCCGATTATATGAACCCAAGTGTCAGCTGGGTTATATCCAAGTGTCAGCCGGGGTTTTATCAAGGTGTCAGCCGGGGTTTATCAGGTGTCAGCCGGGGGTGTATCAAGTGTCAGCCGGGGTTTATCAAAGTGTCAGCCGGGTTTTATCAAGGTGTCAGCCGGGGTTTTATTCATGGTGTGTGAGGTTTATCAAGGTGTCAGCCGGGGTTTATCAAGGTGTCAGCTGGGGTTTATCCAAGGTGTCAGCCGGGGTTTATTCATGGTGTCAGCCGGGTTTATCCAAGGTGTCAGCGGGGTTTATTCATGGTGTCAGCCGGGGTTTTTATCCAAGGTGTCAGCCGGGGTCTATCAAAGTTGTCAGCCGGGGTTTATCAAGGTGTCAGCCGGGGTTTATTCATGGTGTCAGCCGAGGTTTATCCAAGGTGTCAGCCGGGGTTTATCAGGTAATCGGGGGTTTTTGTCATCCAGGTATACACAGAACTCTTCACTGACTCGACTCATAATTTTGTTGGTATGACTGACTGTTGTGGTCGTGTCAGCAACAGGTGGACAGGCTGACTAGCATAGTGCTGACAGTGAGAGGAGAGTATTCCCTTCAGGTAGCGTGGTGTTCCTTCAGGTAGCGTGGTGTTCCTTCAGGTAGCGTGGTGTTCCTTCAGGTAGCGTGGTGTTCCTTCAGGTAGCGTGGTGTTCCTTCAGGTAGCGTGGTGTTCCTTCAGGTAGCGTGGTGTTCCTTCAGGTAGCGTGGTGTTCCTTCAGGTAGCGTGGTGTTCCTTCAGGTAGTTGCTCCTCGCCCACCGTGAGTCCTCCCTCAGTATATTTGTCTTCTTAGGCCGGTGTATAGCTTCGTGTATTTTCTACGTGTATATTGATGTATTTTTTGGGTGGGTATTTTCAACGGTGTATGATGCTGTATTTTTTAGTATTTTTCTATGGTATATATTCTCGTATTTTTTTGAGTATTTTTAACGTATTATATTCCTGTTGTATATTTTGGTGTATATTTTCCTGGTGTATTGTGGGTAATTCAGTTGGCAAGTCTGTATATTAGGGAGAAGCTCTCTCTCTCTCTCACCGGCACAATATCAGAACACGTCCAGATCTCGTCTTCAACAAATAATAATAATCAGTAAATTACATCATCACTACAGAGTTATGTGACCTTTTGACCTCTGTTGTGACGAGACGAGTTGACCCTCTCAACTACCTTGTTTAATTTACCGAGCGATTACGTGATTGAATACTGAATACATTTCCATATTAATTTTTTTCATCTCTTTTAATTAAGTTAAGAGAAGTTGGGAAATGTCACAGGTATATTTTTGTTGTATATATTAAAACCTGGACGACAGTGGACGATAGTGGTTGATACTGAACGATAGTGGACGATAGTGGACGATACTGGATGATTGAACGATAGTGGACGAAAGTGGACGATAGGTCGACGATAGTGAACGATACTGGACGATAGTGAACGATGAGTGGACGATAGGTCGACGATAGTGAACGATAGTCATTCATTCTGTTTCGTTAATGAAGTGTGTAATGAAGAAGAGGAGTTATCACCACCTGGGGATCGTGAAAGGTGATGACTCTACCTGACAGGTGTAGTGTGTAGACAGGACCAATGGATGACTTCCTTCACCTCTTGTACTGTGTGTGTGTGTGTGTGTGTGTGTGTGTGTGTGGGTGTGGGTGTGTGTGTGTATGTGGGTGTGTGTGTGTGTGTGTGTGTGTGTGTGTGGTGAGAATAACAGGTTAAAATTGTGGAGGCTGATGATTTAACGATGCTAATAGGCCCCTGTTTTAATGGTTTGATTTAGCTAATGGCCCAAGGCTAATAGAACCCGACCCAACAGCAAGGGCTATAATAACAGCTGTAGTAGAAAGAACAGAACAGGAGAACAATAGTAACAGCAACACAGCAGAAGGAAGACAATAAAAGTAGCAGTAGCACAGCAGAAGGAAGATAATAAAAGTAGCAGTAGCACAGCAGAAGGAAGACAATAAAAGTAGCAGTAGCACAGCAGAAGAGACAATAAAAGTAGCAGTAACACAGCAGAAGACAATAAAAAGTAGCAGTAGCAGCAGAAGGAAGACAATAAAAGTAGCAGTGCACAGCAAGAAGGAAGACAATAAAAGTAGCAGTAGCACAGCAGAAGGAAGAGAATAAAAGTAGCAGTAGCACAGAAGGAAGACAATAAAAGTGAGCACAGCAGAAGGAGATAATAAAAGTAGCAGTAGCACAGCAGAAGGAAGACAATAAAGTAGCAGTAGCACAGCAGAAGGAAGATAATAAAGTAGCAGTAGCACAGCAGAGAAGACAATAAAAGTAGCAGTAGCACAGCAGAAGACAATAAAAGTAGCAGTAGCACAGCAGAAGGAAGAATAAAAGTGGCAGTAGCACAGCAGAAGGAGGACAATAAAAGTAGCAGTAGCACAGCAGAAGGAAGATAATAAAAGTAGTGATGTTGTGAAGAACAATAAAGTAGCATGTAAGCAGAAGGAAGACAATAAAAAGTAGCAAGCAGGGAAGATAATAAAGTAGCAGTAGCAAAGCAGAAGGAAGACAATAAAAGTAGTAGTAGCACAGCAGAAGAGACAATAAAAGTAGCAGTAGCACAGCAGAAGGAAGATAATAAAAAGTAGCAGTAGTAAGCGAAGGAAGACAATAAAAGTAGCAGTAGCACAGCAGAAGACAATAAAAGTAGCAGTAGCACAGCAGAAGGAAGAGAATAAAAGTAGCAGTAGCACAGCAGAGGAAGACAATAAAAGTAGCAGTAGCACAGCAGAGACAATAAAAGTGGCATTAGCACAGCAGAAGGAAGACAATAAAAGTACTTGAGCACAGAGAGGAAGATAATAAAAGTAGCAGCAACACAGCAGAAGGAAGACAATAAAGTAGCAGTAGCACAGCAGAAGGGAAGATAATAAAAGTAGCAGTAGTACGAAAGGAAGACAATAAAAGTAGCAGTAGCACAGCAGAAGGAAGATAAGTAGCAGTAGCACAGCAGAAGGAAGACAATAAAAGTGGCAGTAGCACAGCAGAAGGAGAAGACAATAAAGTAAGAGTAACACAGCAGAAAGGAAGATAATAAAAGTGCAGTAGTACAGCAGAAGGAAGACATAAAAGTAGCAGTAGCACAGCAGAAGGAAGACAATAAAGTAGCAGTAGCACAGCAGAAGGAAGAGAATAAAAGTAGCAGTAGCACAGCAGAAGGAAGACAATAAAATGGCAGAGTCATTGTGAAGGAAGACAATAAAAGTAGCAGTAGCACAGTAAGAAGGAGAAGATAATAAAAGTAGCAGTAGCACAGCAGAAGGAAGATAATAAAAAAGTAGCAGCAACACAGGAAGAAGACAATAAAATAGCAGTAGCACAGCAGAAGGAAGACAATAAAGTAGCAGTAGCAAAGCAGAACAATAAAAGTAGCATGCACAGCAGAAGGAAGAGAATAAAAAGTAGCAGTAGCAGCAGAAGGAAGACAATAAAGTAGCAGTAGCACAGCAGGAGGAAGACAATAAAAGTAGCAGTAGCACAACAGAAGAATAATAAAAGTAGCAGTGGTACAAGCAAGGTAATAAGACCAGCAGTAGCACAGCAGAAGGAAGAATAAAAGTAGCAGTAGCATAGCAGAAGGAAGAACAATAAAAGTAACTGTAGCACAGCAGAAGGGAAGACAATAAAAGTAGCAGTAGCACAGCAGAAGAAGACAATAAAAGTAGCAGCTAACACAGCAGAAGGAAGACAATAAAAGTAGCAGTAACACAGCAGAAGGAAGACAATAAAGAGTAGCAGTAGCA